TCAGTCTCTCTCTGTTCTCCTGCTCTCATTCTCAGCAGATAACCTCATTTTGAACTTCATGTTAACAATGATTCCACTCTATGTGTCAATACTGAACAAGATGTTTTCAATGTATAACTTCATTAACATATTGCAATTGCTCTATTAGTTAGGGATGGCTATCTCCTTTTACCAATAAGTAAACAGATTCTAAGAAAGGTCAAATGACTATCCTTTGAGTGTTCAGTGCATTTTGAATAACAAGCCATTCCAACTTACTGACTTAATATTTACTAGTTTTCATGAGTTTGAGTCCATTGGCTCGGATGCTCTGGTCTGGGTTGATCCATGTAGCTATTGTCAGCTGGGATCTTGAGCTAATCCTGATCTTCTCTCATCTTCTACTGGTTTATTCTCACAGAAAGTACAGGAGTCCAAGGAAAGAAGAAATTCCCGAGTGCTTTCCAAGGCCCCACTTCTTGTCCCATGGACTAAAACTGATCACATGACTAGGCCCAGCCTCAGAAAAGAGTTCGACTACAAAATACAATGCTAAGAGCACTACTGTAAATGAAACTTACCTACCACACAGTGGAAATAACAGGAAAGATGGTTTGCAAGCATAGCTCTCTCTTAACACAGAACCCTCTGTTCTCCATGACTTATTCATCAAGAAAAGAGCAATCATAAGGCAAAAACTCCAGGGTTTCTTCTTCCCATAGCTTCTAGGAATCCAGCTTTGCGGAAACATTTTCTCTCATGTGAGGCCCAAGTTTGTTTCTTTTTTCCTTCAATTTATATTGTTCCTTTTGAATTATGGATCCTGGTTTCTCTCACTCTTCAAGGACAAGGACTTTGACTCCATCAAACACCCCTGACTCTTCTTTGCTTTCAATTTTCTTGCAGAATAATTTATTTTCTTTCATCATACAAATATACTTACCTTATATATTAAATATACTTATGCTCCAGGGCTCCCTGTTGTAGAATGCTTCTCTAAGTAGCCCCTCACCCATCCTCCTCAAGGTAACCCCAGTTAAGCTCACTGGTTCAGCAAGCTATGGTTGGGTGGAACCATTTCTTCGTTCTGTTTTTGGTGCCCTATCTGGAGTGAGTAGATGTTTATGTATCCCCAGAATAAAGGTAATGCAACCCCTTTAATGCTCCTCTGGTATTTCTTTCGCTTGACTATTTTCTTCCCTTCCATTAACCCTCAACCTTCCATGAATCGGTTTCTTTTTCACTTCTTTCTCTTGAAAAAGTTCCTACTCAACTCTCTAAGAATCAAAGTTGTGTTTTGTGGTCTGAGGTCTGAGAGTAGGTGAGGATACGCTTTGGGAATTAACTCCTAAATCTTGATAGCATTATCTGATCAGAGTTAATTTTCACTGACGCCATGATCCACTGGTGTGGTTGCTTATTGGCCCTCTGTGGTCATGGAGGGTCTTAGGCTAACTCCCACTGTGGTATCACCATTCCCTGGGGTACCTATGTTCCTCCAGCTGGATCTCTGCATCTGGCAGTGACCGATTGTTAGATGAGAACAAGAGTGCAGGATGAATCAATCTCAATATCATTAGCCATAACACCGCTGTAAGGAAGGTTGGCATGTGCATTATGACCAGGTGTCTGGCTGATGCAAGCAAGTACTGCACACACAGTCATTCTTTACTAACGCCCCAATCCTTCTTTGCTGAAACTTTTTCCCTTTGTCTCTGATCACTTCACTGTCTCTTAGTTTCTGCTTCAGATTGTTCTATGTCACAGCAACAGACCAGGTTATTTGTAGAGAAATGAAACATATTTCTCATAGTGCCAGAGGCTGGGAAGTCTCATATCAAGGTTCTGGCATGTTGTAAAAGCCTTTGCGTATCGTCCCCTGGCAAAAAAGCAAAGAGAGGAAGAGGGAAAGCACTTAGAGTACTGGGGCTTTATAATGAGTATCCATTCATTCGTCCAGTAGAGCTCTCACGGCCTCATCCCTGCTCAGACCATGGCAGTTTCTAGCTTCAGGTCCTGCTGCTGTTCAGACCCGATCACAGTTGCTCTTCTGTCATCTCTCTTTAAACATGGGCATCCCCAGAACTTTGTTTGGACTCATTTCTCTCGTCAGGTATCCATTCGTGAAGTCTTCATAAACCACCAGAACATCTACATTTTTGTTCGGCTCCCATGTGAAACCTGATTCTCATCTTTCAAATCCCCATGCTGGTAAGAGAGTTGTTGTCGCTCAGCCCCCCTCCCCATGCCTCCATTGGCCTTTCAGCCCTGGCATCGCTGACATTTTACATCACATAATTCTTTGCTGTGGGAGGTAGCCTGCACATCACAGGATGCTTACCGAACCTCTCAGTTCTATTTACAAAACACCAGAACGCCCCTGTTCCATTATTTTGTTGCTACCCTAAACCTCCAGAAACTACTGAATGTCCCTTGGGGTATGGGCAACTGGCCCCTATTAGAAGCTCTATTACCATCCAACCCTGGACTAACCTTTGCAGCATCTGTCCCTTCTATTTCTTCTTACCCGTTTGATGAAATTTCCTATAATTTTGTATCTAGATATCTCCAACCATGATAGGCAAGTTGCCTGACCCAACAGTCAGTCTTGATTCAGATCTTCCTTGTTACCTCCACTAAAGAAAATGTAAGACCTGTTTCTCATCCTTACTTGCATCAAGGGATAGTTAGGTGGCAACCCAGCACGCCACTGGGCTCACAAAGAGGGACACAGTCAAACCAATTGCTTAAGAGCAAAGCTGTGGGGTTTGCACTTGAGATTCAGCTCGCCCTCAGGATAGTTACTTATCTGTGCCACATCAGCAACACTGGGATAAACAACAGTGCTGACCTGATGGTCATGTGAAGATAGTATAATTGAGTTAATATTATGAAGTGTTTGGTACTATGTCTGGCTGCAAACCCAGGATAGAAATGGAGGCTATATTCTACGGATGACAGTGACCACCTAATCTCTCTTCTCCAACTCATCTCAGACGTTATTCATATTCCAATTACTACTGAATTCACTTTTTTTTTTTGGTTGAGTCAGGGTCTCCCTGTAGCCCCAGCTGTCCTGGAACTCACTATGTAGACCAGGCTGGCCTTGAACTCACAGAAATATGCCTGCCTCTGCCTCCTGAGTGCTGGAATTAAATGTGTGTGCCACCACGCCCGGCTGAATTCACTTTAATTTTTTTTAAATTTTTATTTTATGTGTATGTGTGTATTGCCTGCATGTAGGTAACTGCACCCATGTTGTGCAGTGCCTGAGGAGGTCAGAAGAGGCTGTCAAATCCCCTGAGATTGGAGTTATGGACAGTTGTTAGCTGCCATGTGGGTGCTGGGGTTCAAACCCAGGTCTTCTACAAGAACAACCAGTGTTCTTAACCACTGACCCATCTCTCCAGCCTCCTGAATTCACTTTTTGAGCCTCAGTTCCAGGAAGACTTCTAGAAGGTTCTGTCTCCCATATTCCCTTCCAAATGTGAATCCCTTCCTCAGACATTGTTTTTTTCTTGCCATTAGCCTGAAGATGCCTACCAGGAAAGGACTCCATCTTTTCTACACATTCCAAGGATCACTGCAGTGCTCAGTAAACATTAAATGTTCAATAAAGTTCTGTTGACTAAATCAGTAAGTGAATAAATATTGGCAATATACATCAGTCATGCAAATCTTTTCACTCCCATTTAGCATTGTGGTAACACTATCCGTCAGATTAGAAAGCAGTTGCAACTTTATGAATTCAGGTACTTCTGCTGGTCTTTGGGGAGGGCGGGCCTCTACAAAGTACTGGACACTGGATGTTGATGAAATACAAATTAACCAACTCACCAAAAGATGAATTAAAAAGTTATTGTGTGTATGCGTGTGCACACGTGTGTGTACTTAAGTTCCATGGTATGTGTGTCAGAGGACAACTTTCCAGTCAGTTCTCTCCTACCACGTGGGTCCCAGGATCAAATTCAGGTCACTAGGCTTGAGAGCAAGCACCTTTACCCGATGAGCCATCTTGCCAACCTCCAAAAGATGAATTTTTAAAAGGAAAATTATCTTACTAGCTTGGCAATGTCAGACAAACTTCTAGGTAAATAAGCCAAGATCCAAATTATTTTTAGGGTAAAGAGTAAAACCAAGCATGTGACTCCCCAATAAAATTTTGTTCTAAATAAATCCATCTAAATTAGGGAAAGAAAGTGTTAATTGAAGTCACAGTTTTAACACACCATTGATAGTTTCTGAAAAGAGAAACTTTCAAAGTCTTGTAGTTAAAAGGCCTTTTAACACCCACACACCCCACACTTTCCATCTGACCAGTCTCTACAAATTAATATATTACAAATACTTAAAGTTTTCTTCTAAATGATGGAGTGTTTTCATCTCCATCTCTGACAGAGAAATCCCCAAGGCCAGAGTCCAGGGGACGCAGTGGTAGCTTTCTTCCCTGGGTGTTGGGCCTAACCATGTTTCATGGGCCCAAACCAAGACCAAGATCTTTAGGTCAAAATTGATTACAAGGTTTCTTCCAGACTGAAGACGCAGTAACCACCGCTCTTCCAAATCCTTAAAACAGATCTTATTAAAAGGTGACCTGAAATGAATCACCGGAAACAAGTTTTCCAAAAGATCCAAGAAAAACACATTTCCTTTCTTCTTAAAATAGAGGTAATTCACAAAATATGCAAAGTTTCTCAGTGGTACAAGTGTCAGTAGCACTTTCCACTCTTTCTGACAACTGCCCTCATGAGGCAACCCTGTCCATGTCCCCTAAAAGTCCGTGGGCTCCGAGGTGACAGTTAAAACCAGGTCGTCCGAGAGACAGAGCGCTCCTCCGGGGACCCTGGGGAAGCTCGGCGGTGTCCACCCCAGCTCGCGCGCAGGGCTGGAGAAGGGGAGCGCACCAACTTCTGGTGGCCTCCACGCCCACCTCCTCCTGCTGGAGTCCCCTCCCCTTGCCAGCGCACGGACTGGGTTGCCCTTATTGTTGGCCATGTCTGTCACTCTGTGGGCCGGGTGACATGAATGGATGGGCTGGACACACCTTCCGTCGTGGTCGTGAAAACCCCATCGGGATCTGCAGACGGTGCCCGGACCCTCGGAGAAGCGCCGCCGCGGACCAGGGACGCGCTCCCGTCGCCTCCCCATCGGCCCGGCCGCATCCCCCGCGCCCCCCGCGCCCCC